GGGGGCAGCGCCGGCGCTGGCAGGTGACCGAGGCACCCCGCAGCCGGCAGATGCAGCACCTCTGGGGACGGCACGGAGGGGGACGGTGTCAGCGCCACGTGCCCCCGGCGAGCCCGGGTTGCCCGAGCCCGGCACAGCCCTGCCACGTTTCGGTGGGCCACCTGGCCGGTGACACGGGGCCACTCATAAAGCCGCCTACCTTCTCCAGCTCCCCACTTGCCACAGAAATGGGCCTTTTTAGATCAAGGAGGGTCTGGGGGGTTGCTCGCGGATGGCTGCCAGAGCATCACCCCTGGGGGCTGCTGACCTGTGCGGCGCCGGACACGGGGCATGGGGACCGCGGTGGGCACACGTGCCCCCGGCCTCACCTTCTGTGCCACCCGCTCCAGCTCCTGCCAGATGTCGGGGAGGAGGAAGCCGTAGAAGCCCTCTTCATCGGCCCCTCGCTGGATCAGCCCGCTGGCGTGGTACTGCAAGAAGGGGAGAGAGGGCACGTGCCGGGGGCCGTCGGCGGTGCGGGGCTGGGGATCGGGGGGTGTCGAGCGCCGGGGACTCACCAGGCAGTTCTCGTGGACGCAGAGCCCGTCCTGACAGCACAGCTGCCCGACCACCTCGGGGTCACAGTGTGCCCGCCGGCACAGCCCGCACGCTGCCGGGACGCAGCCGCACCGTTACCCCCAGCACCAGTGCCAGGGTGCCGGCGGGGGTAACGCCAGAAGCGGGATGGGGGAGAGGCCAGACCACCTTCCCACAGTGTGGGGGCCACTGCTGGGATGGCCGGACACCGGCCAAAATCTCCACTGGCAGGTGCCTGGGGGGATGTTCTGCACTCACCTTCTTCCTTGGGGACCTGATGCTTCTTCACAGGCAGGGGAGGTGCACAGGAGGGTCCTGCCTGCTCCTCCTGCAGCTCTGCGGGACACTGGGCAGGGGGGGGCTGCACCGTGTTGCGGCACTGGGACCTCACCTCCATCACTGTGAGTGGCTGCAGTGAAGGAGATGGCTGGGCGTGGGGTCGCTGGTGAGGTCGAACACCATCCTGATCCTCCAGCGTCTGTGCCAAACGTGCCACTGAGATGGGGGAGGTTGCCAAGGGTGTTTATCCAGCCTGGGTGCTTTGTGACACAGCA